CACGCCCCCCTGGTATATTGATAGTAGCCCGAATGCGTCTTTCCGCCCAGAATCGCGAGATACAGCAACACATCTTTGTCCATGAGCGGAAAACAGCATTGTGGTGTCCAGGGTATCAACGGTCCGGTTGTCCACGGTTCCATATTCAACTCACCGTTCGATATGATCACATCGGTAACCTTTTCATCTACCAAAATCGCGAAGTGCAGATGCATGCTCTCGGCCCCAACAAGTAGCCTTCGCTTTTTCAATGGCGGTACCTCATCATTTTCTTCAGCATTCGTGTGAGATATCGCCATGAGTTGTGAATACCTTCCGTGCTTCTCATCCATGAACGCCTTTGCGACCTCACCGATTTGTGAGCCTCTACTGACACCGGCAAATGCTTCATCTAGTAAATCCCAGAGCTCGACACGTGAAAGTGCCAGGCTTGTATCAAGGTCAGATAATGTCGTACTGCCTTTTAAAACCTGGTCCGTCGTACTGTAATCACCATCGTCTGTTTGTTTCGCAGCACGCTTTAAAACTTTTACGATTTCACCCACGAAAGACCTCGTGAATCTTCCACGCGAATTTACCGCAATATATTCTACAACAGGAAACCGATCTACAGCCGCCTCCCAGACCTCTTGATCTCGCTCATCCTTTGGATCAAACACAAATCGATAGGGAGGAAATCTGGGAACAATGGACATCCACATGTGCTTTCCCGTGGAGCTGCCTGTTGCTTACGTAACCAGATTGCTTATTTTTGAATCCGTTCCCATTACAATCACCACCAAACCACCAGTGCGGAAAATATTGCGTTGAAAAGCTGCCACACTCTTTCCTCCAACAGATGTCCTGACGTTTGTGAGCTATAAAACTTACCTGCGTGTCGAGCGCCAGTGCATTGCAGTCTGCCAGTGTCCGGTGCCCCCATCTACGAGCCACCGTCCACTGCCAGTGTCTGCAAAGACACATCCCAAGGACACTCATGCGCCTGGCAGTGCAGCTTGCGGCTGCACTACAACCGGCTACACTGAGTACACATGCGTGCAATGGCGAAGGACTATACCAAGGACTGTATGCACAAGGACATCGTTGGCTGTGCGCTGCCAAGATGGTGTACTCAAACGAGAGTGCATTTATCTAGAGTTTAGTATTGACTTATTTGCTATTTGTATACTAATCTACTTTTGCGGTACAGCGGTGTTCTGGCGGAGGCTGCTCCACACTTTGCGTTTGACGCCTGCCGCTCATCAGAGAGCAGCAGAGAAGAGCAGCCTCGCCAGACACCGCAGTCCTGTCGCGGCCTTTTGCCCGGCACTTACGTGTTTACGTTACTTCCTGATTAGTTTCCTAAAGTTGACATTTAAGTGTATTTACATTTAAATGGCTCCTACTCTTAGAAGCGATCGACACATGGAGAACAATCCCCCCGTGACGAACCCTACGTCACCACTGGTTATGAGCCCAATCAGGGCGCAGTCTGCGACTGACGTGGCTGCTGGCGTTCCAGACACAAGTTCTGGAATTTCGACCAATCAAGATCAAGCTTCAACCCCATTGGCAGGAAATTCAAGCTTGAACAATGACGCAACACTGTCGCACAGTGATGCAGAACGACTAATTCGTTCATTGGCTGGAATCCCGGGTGGCCGCCCGTTATTCCAAATGTTACTCGAAAGTATGCATAAACTTTCGTCGACGAACACGGAAGAATCCGTGCCAGTTGACAATCCTCCCCAGTCGCCGCTAAACCAACAAAACGGCGACCGAGACCCTGACGATCCGTGGCGCCCTCTAGACAACATGAACCCTACTGGCCGCTACAACGACGGCGAGCTGGCTGAGTACACCAAGGTCCTTATCAACTCGCCTCCGATCAAGCTGCCCAAGCTACATCTGAAAGGCGACTACAAGGCCTGGAAGAGCGAGGTGCCGTTGCACTTCGAGCCGAAGATGCTGGGAGACATCACCTATGGCCCTGAGCGTTACGATGCAGTAGAAGGCATGCGTCGTGACAAATATCGCGTGTGGTATAAGTCGCGCAAGAACAAGGCATTCTCAGCACTCGCGTTGTCGCTGTCTGTTGACCTACGTACGACGTTCAAAATCGACGACATCCACGACAACATGGACGCCGCCGCTATGCTCTACGATGCGATTACGCAGCACTTTGAGGCTGGAGATGGTATTAATCCTGATTACCTACTGCAAGAGCTAGTGACGCGCCGGCTCAAGCCAAACGAGTCAGTATCGCAGTATGCTGACGACATTGCAAAGAAGGTGACACTTCTACATCAAGCTAATGGTGAGTTTGCTGAGTGGCAACATGCAAGCCTACTACTATCGAACAGCGTGGAAGCGTTTAAAGATCTCGCCCGTGAACACGGCGATTGGCTTAACAACCATGATCGTAAGACACTTACACTTGCTGAAGCTTTACAACGACTACGCGCTGCTGAACACCAGCGTGACCAGCTGCGTGCACAGACCAGACAACCGGTCGCGCATTCAATGCAAGTTGCTCATGTCGGAACGGACCAAGGACAAGGTCAAGCCCGAGGACGCAAGCGCAACAAGCAACAGCGCAAGCGATCCAAGGGCGTTGCAGATAAGAAGCAGCGTACAAACTGCGCGAACTGTCAAGGAGAAGGACATTGGTATGCCGAGTGTACGGCTCTCACTGGCCAGCAACTGAAGCCAGAGCTCACGAGAAAGCTGCAAGAGAGACAACCAAGGGCTCCCGTGTCGCTGGTGAACTCCGTACGTCGTGTGGATGCGGTAGCGTTGGAAGAAGATGGCCAAGGACTGTTTGCTGGCCTATCACTATGCGATGCGAATGCGATTGACCTTACGGATGGTGCTGCCCTATCGCCTACGGCTACGCAATCACCTGCATGGTCACTAACGTCTCCTGCGGAAAGTGAAGAAGGAGGAGAGCGTCGTGTTGTTGAAGGGGTGCGAGCAAGTACGCAACGCACTCAATCGTCGGTTGCGCAAGCAACGCAGCGACTGCAGCTGCAAGTTGGAGTTCCTGTTCAACACATACAAGTTAGAGGACAAGGACTACAACAACGACAATCAACCTCACTACCTACACTGCTAGCACCAGCTGTAGCTGTGCAAACTGCCATACAATCTGCGGTACAACCTGAAGTGCAACCTACTGGACAACCTGCTGTTCAACAGGGTGTACAAGCTACTGTACTGCAAAACATGCAACATACTGTATCGAGTACTGCGCAGACTCAGTGGGAGGGCAATCAGTCTACAGCTGGATTGGTGCCTACGTGGGAATCATTCATCTACTACTTGGGGCAAGGACTGTCGAGTAACTCGAAAGG